GATGAATTAAAAAAAAATTATTTCTACACTTTGTTCTTGAAAGCTATGAGAGTTCTTAGGAGAGTGAAAGTGTCACGACCCGACCCGATCCGGGACGGATCCTGCTCGCACCGGGTCGCGACACGAAATGAACAGACTGACCAGGATCTGGTTATGGAATTTGGTTCGGAACTGAATCTTCCAAATTTACTCAAACAAACACACAGACACAGAGCTACTATAAATCATCAAACACAGCGGAACAAAACATCTATCTTTTTTTTTTTCTTTTCTTTTCCTCAAAACAATCATCTACAAATACAGTACATGGCTTTTAACCAGAAAGAAAGACATAACAGAAAAGCCATGACTGAACAAAAATCAAAAGTACAAAACAATACCTATACTGATCAGACTCTGAACTCTATTCCTGGACTTCCTTCCCTTTCCCAGAACCTGAAAACCACCAGAAAACAAGAGTGAGCTCAACAGCTCAGCAAAGCAACAAACCTCCAATCAAAATTCTCAGAATCCAAAACCAAATACATCAGACCAAAATCCAATCAGAAATCGGAACAGAATCGTATCTCATATCTCAAATCAGAACAGAATCAAATCAGAACTTATACGGACATATATCAAACCAGAATCAGAGTCGTACAGATCAGATCACCTCAGAATACAAATCAGAACAGAATAAATCAACAGAGTCAGAATCGTACAGAAATCAACAGAATTGATATCAACAGAACAGATTCGGAAATCAGATAAAATCGGGCAGCACAACGGCAGTATACGGAATTTACACAAATTTTCCTGAAAATCACAAAATACCAAATTTGCACAGAATATAGATATCAACATTTCAGAATATTTATTCTACTGCACAGAAAATTTTCGACTTCACAGAAAAATCCAGTCGAAGTAAAACCCAGTCGAATCAAAAATACCCTAAAAAATCTTCAAAATATAGTCAAAACGTGCGCACTCGGCACGGCAACAATATACAGAAAGTTACACGGTAAAAACTGAACCAATCAAAAGATACGGACGAAAATCACTAACAGAAACAAAATCCGGACAGAAACTACTGCCAAACACGACGGTTCTGAAAATTGAGAAAGGCGGAATGTGCCTTACCTTGCGTACAGCAATATTCTGAACAGTCTCTTCGGACGAAAACGGCTCCGCGTCGTCCGAAAATCAACTTTTCCAAAAATGCCCTCGACCTTCTCTCTCCTCAAAATCAGATATTTTATTTTTTTTATTTTCTCTCTCTTCAAAACGACTGATTTCTGCTTTATAATACTCAGATCGGCCCGGCCGATCGCCAGATCGGCCTGGCCGATCGCCAGATCGTCCCAGGACGATCAGACCAAATTGGATCGTCCTGGACGGTTCCCAGAACTAGTTTCAGGCCGATATTTTGAACAGTGCCAATCGGCCTGGCCAAAGCCTCAATCAGCTTGGACGATGCATACAGAAAAACACCTGGAGCAAATCTGGGCAAATTCTGGAACAAATTCTCAACAGATCGTCCCAGAACGATCCCAGATCGTCCTGGACGATCTTGGAGCAGATTCTGATATTACAGAAAGTCCCTATGTGAGGGCATTAAAATACCCACCAGCCGCAGGATGTGCCCGGGCTCATGGTTGAAGTCCCTATGGGAGGGAATCGTAGTTTCCATCAGCCACAGAATGGGTCAGAGCACGTGGCTTGAGGTCTTTTGGTAAATGGCAACGTTTCACCCGTCAGCCGCATGAAGAGTCCGGCCTCACGATTTATTTCTTTATTTTTGTATTTTCTTATTTTTCCTAATTGCCAACTCCATCTTCTCTCCAATAAGCTGGCTTCATCCCCTCCTCCACACAAAATTGCCGGTCTCTTCCCCCTACTCCACCCAAAATCTAAACCAATCCCCTCCACCTTCAACCGTCGGCTCCCACCAAGAATAGCCGACGGCCTTGCCACCTAATCTTGCCCTTCCCCACACCCTAATTTTAATATTTTCATAAAATAGTGTTACTTATTTAGGAAGATTTTGAATTCAAATTAAAATCATTTTGAATTTCAAATTCTTTCCCTAAATAACTCACTCCATCTTAGGAAAACCACTTCAATCTATTCCAATCTGAAATAAATTCAAATTTGATTCAATTCTCATACCCTAATTTTACTACTTTCCTAAAATAGTGTTACTTATTTAGGAAGATTTTGAATTCAAATTCAAACCATTTTGAATTTCAAATTATTTCCCTAAATAACTACTCCATCTTAGGAAACCACTTCAATCTATTCCAATCTAAAATAAATTCAGATTTAATTCAATTCCCCACATTCAATGAACCTAGACACGCTCTCCCTAATTCAAATCTTCCCCATTAATTCCTAGGCCCTTTAATGATCCTCAAATCAATCATTTAAAGCCTAATTAATTCATTCCCTTAAGGCTGAGATTATTTTTAGACTTGTGAATCTATTTTCCTCCATATTCAAGTTCAAATTTACTTGAATTAAATTCCTTTTTCCCCTCCTCCCTATTGTTAGCCACTTCCCCATTTCCTTTCCCTTAAACTAGTTGACCAAGCCCTTATTTCATCCAACCCAACACCAATTCATACAGATTTTCACATTGCAAACCTGTTGTCCTACATACAAAAACCAATCATTTGATGTCCCAAAGGAGAGTAAGTGTTGTCCTGAATCTCTCGTGGCTTCTCCTTGCTGTCCAGAATTCCTGTAGGTAGATTTCTCTATGTTGTCCTCAAATTTCAGCAGGAATACTCGATGTCCTGCTTACTATACGGCTTTTCCCTTGCTGCCAGAAAATTTTAGCCAAGATCTTTGTTGGCTAATCCTCCGAAAAGGCGTCACTTGCTGACCAAAAGCTCCGGTACATCAAATCTTGTTGTTCGTTCTACATCATTAGGAGCATAACTAGTCCAAAGTGCCTAAAATCACTATAGATAGCACTGCAGCTCTTACTCAAATACATTTTTTTGTCCAAAAACTCGAGAGCTCGACTCTGAGGTGCCATGATGCTCGTAGAGAAAATTTTAAAAATAGGAATTTGGCTATTACATGTTCCTCATGGGATCGAAACTATTTTTATTATTATATTACTTGATATGACAAGTACACTTGCATTAAAAAAAGGTCTTACACTATAGAAAAATTAAATTTTCAATATAAAACTAAGTAGGGTGTGTAAGCTAAAGCACGACATTGTTCCACTCGCATAAGTAAGTAATAGCAGGAACAATGTATAAAAAAGAAGCTTGTCATACATCAATATTCTTGACCATGATAGATGATAAGGTTCATAGGCATAGAATTTTATAAAAACAGTATGCATCAGTTTTATAAATGTGGTGTGTTGGCGTTATTGACAATGATGGGAAATGAAATTAGCGGGCATTGATGTTTATGCTAATGGTGTGCATTGACTTTATTGTTATGGTATAAGTTGATGTTATTAGCGATAATGTGTGATAAAACTAATGGGTATCGACATTTATATCAATAACCTTAGAAGTGATGGCATGTGTTGACATTGATAATAACATACAATGAAGTTGATGTGTGCTGATATTTATGTAGATGTCTACATCAACTTTATAGACAATAATGTGTGGCAATACCATTGAAAATGACAGGCATTAGAATTGGCTAGTGTCAATGTTAGTGTCCATTTTGTGCATTGATCTTATAAACAATATAGTGTGTTGATGTTGTTGGTGACGATAAGAAATGAAGTCGATGAGCATCATTATTTCATATTAACAACTTATATCAGCCTTATAGACAATGACATGTGTTAATGTTATTAGCGATCAAGTCAACAGGTGAACTTACATGCAATATTGTGCTTTAATATTAGTGGCAATGAAGTCAGTGAAAAAAAGGTAGTCAACAACAATATTTGAGTGATATTGATCAGGAGATCGTAATCCAAGGACGATGCTTATGATATCATAATTGGGCAATGGGGTTGGATGATGGTAATCGATATGCTCATTTTTACTATACTTTAAAATGAAATCACTCAGTCTTTCACAAATAAACTCAATACTTAACCTAAATTTTTTTATTCTTATTTCAATAATTTATACACCCCAATGAACAAATGTGTTAATACTGTCAGTGTAACATAAATTTATTTGAGTTCTAACAAATATAACAAACGAATAATTTGTAGACTATTTGTTTGATATTGTTATCTTCTATTCTAATGTTGTGCAACATTATTCACAACGATTACTAATTATTTAATAAAATCATATTAATAAAAAAAAGTTGTTGCTTATAAAAAAATTTATTGTCAATAATTAATCAAAAGCCAAACTAAATATTTTAAAAATTTATATGTTTTATTTAATATCTTAATTTTAATTAAGATATAATTAATATAAATATTGTTAAACACAAACATTAAGGGAATATTGACAATCATGTTTCTTTAGAAAGCTACTGAAATCACCATTTTGACTCAGTGTTTTTGATGATTTTACATGCGTTGCAGGGCAGAAAATTAAGAGTTTGAAGCAAAGTCGTTGCAGTTCGAGCTGTGGCCCGTTGATTAATAGAACTCGTTACTCTGCGGACACCGAACGTAGAATGTCATCCGAAGACCAATCTAAATGTGCAACATCAGCAATACCAAGCAAACAGTAATATGAATCATTTGATTAGTCTTCAGATGGTGTTCGACGTCTGCACAGAATAATTAATCCTCACAAAGAGCCGCGCTCAAATAGCTCAAACAGCCCAAAAAAAAAACAAAGCAGTTTCTTTTCCTTCAAATAAACAGTAGTCGAGCTGCTTCTCATTTAGCTTTCATTAGAAAGCTATCATTTAGCTTTCATATAATAGGCTTTTTTCTTCACAAACCTTGAACCATATGTCCTAAAATAGTTTCTACCATCTAGGGAAGCAGAATGAAAAAGAGAAAAAAAAAAACCAGAAAATTTTACCAAAAAAGAGCACAAAAGAATCTATCAAAATATCAACATACAAAATACAAATAAACCTTATATGTTATTTAACTCCAGAAACTAGCAAAGTACATAATAATGGTTTTCATCCCCCAACTCCTCACCAACAAATGTAAACGTATACTCCTCTAAACTTCAAAACATATCCACACAGTAAAGAATTGTAAGCAATATATGAAGCAATTTGTTTATACCATCTATATAGACTTCTATCTAAATATAGTAAACAACTGCACAACTGAAATAAATGTCTATGGTAAATCTGAAAAGAAGCTCGGATCAAGAAATCCCAAGTCAGGGAAACCATAGTCCATTTGATCTAAGCTCCAGCACATTGTATCTGCTTTCTGCACCGGGCTTGGACTCTGCAAATTGCTTCCAGAACTATGGAGACTTGAGCCAACTGCATCTTCACAACCATTAGCAAAGCCAAGAATCTCATCAATGTGAAACATATCAAATGGCATTTCCTCGACTGGCTCTTCTGTTAGCACAGGATTCCTGCTATCTGTGCTCAGAGGATCTTCAGAAGATGGCTGAGAGCCAATGTTCTTTATCTCCTCCTTTACAGCTACAGGTTTTAGATTATCAGCTTCTAATGCAGTTTCTGATGAGGTAGTGGATTCAAGAGTTTCTGACTTGGGTCTTTTACACTGTTGAGCATCTGAATCTACCACAGATTCAGGGAGATTGACACGAGCATATGATCCATACAAAGCCCGAGCAGCTTCATCATAGGCAAGAGCAGCATCTAAGGAAGTATTATAGGTCCCTAACCACAAGCGACACCCTCGTCTCGGCTCTCGAATTTCCGCAACCCACTTGCCCCAAGTTCGTTGCCTCACGCCACGATACTTACAGTGTGAATTCTCTGGCCCTCCTTTCCCTGTCATGCATCCTTTCTTTGAGCCCTTTGCAGGTACTTTCCTCACACGCTGGGTGTTCAGAGTGTGCAGTTGATTGTTCTGATCTTTCCATTTGGAAAGAATTTCAGCTACACAGCTTGTTCCTGTGAACCTATTTCGTCTTCTTTTTTTCCTGAAAAAGAACTAATCAGAACACTAGCAACAATTAAGCACAATAACAGCTGAAGAAAAATTATGAACAATTTATCAAGTTCAAACCAAAAAGGAGTATTTTCCATGTCAGACTTGCAAAGGTGTCACTAGAAGCTTTCAAATTCATTGCAATTAAACATAGAAAATTAACAGCAGTAATATATTAGCGTAGCAATTAGAAAATGCATAGCTCATAAGCAATATAAAAAATGAAACAAAACTGCAAAGCAATGCAGATAATTAATATAAACATTGGCAGTTTACTTCTACATATATCCAATGTATTTAAAAAATTATTTAACCACACAAATGGGGAAAAAATACGCAAGTTGCAAAAACAACACTAAATTCAGTGAGGTCTGTCAAGTTTGATTAGGAAAAAATAGATTGATAGTTAATTGATTTATGCTAGACAAAAAAACTGATTCATTTTATTACATTTTTTAAGAGGCCACACTTGGAGGGGTCATTAGCATGCCTTCATTACAACCTAAACGTCAAGGAAATGCTCTTGTTGTGTGCAAATCTCACACTAGCAATAACTTCATGGGTCGAATGAGCTCGATTTCACAGCTTGCTACCATATGAAATCCTTTCTACAGTTCAAAACATAAGCACCTTGGCGCCACATATCAAGCAAAATAACACCAAGGCTTCCAAAAATGCACAGAAGCAGCTTCTGCAATCAAGAATGTAAGTTCTTATTCTCTAAATAATTTTTTGAAGTGAAAATGTTTAATGAACTTCCTTACATGAATATTGTAATTTTCAATAAATGGTACCAAGATGATTGAGTATCTTAATATCCATACCTAGCAGCATAAGCAACTCAAGTTCACCCACAATGCCTTCCCTGCTTTTCCAGTAGAAATCATCAAAACACCACAAAGATGGAACAAAATCAGAAGAGAAGTGATATTCAAACCAGAATGCAAAAGCTTCAGAACAAATTAATGCAAATTTGAATACACATGGTGCTGTAATAGAAAAATATCATAAAATTAAGGCTTTCAGAAATTTAATACCCTAGCACAAGTTGTACAAAACTAGAGTTTTCAGGATTTTAGTATTCCTAACCCTTCAAAACAAGAAACTTATTCAATCTACAGAAATCATTAAGTATAATTAAGGGTTGACCCAAAAGCTCCAAGCCTATGGGAGAGGAACAAACACTCATTAATTCTATATCAACAAATATTTCAAATATTAATATCCCATGTGGAACTAAACTCAAAACAGTAAATACATAATAGGGCAAGCAAAGAAAAAAGTTACAATCATTCAAATCTTCCATGAATATGGTAATAGGATCTCAGTTTGGTTCAGAAAAACTTCACTCCAACAAATTTATACAAACTATACAGATGTATCATCTCTTCCTTCAATCAAACATAACTCGAACACTTGTTTAGAATAACCAATTCAAAACGTTAACATTCAAGAAATAAGAACATCATATTTTGACATATTTGATCATCCTACAGGAAGATAAGGATACAAAAACTTCAGTTCCTATGGAGTGATGAACAAACTATCCTCAATTCCAAAACCATCACAACCATACTCCTTAATCCCTCCACCTAATCTCGTATAGAACACCGAAATCAGTAATCCAACAAGAACACGAAGACGGCGCCCTAATGAAACTATGATCAAACCCTAGACACGAAACCAGAAACCGAAGCATTTAGAGGATGATACCACAAAGTTGAAAGTTTCCCCAAAAACCAAGCGAAAGATGTAATTTTGCAAACAAAGAAGGCCTACCTTTCTTCTTCCGCCATCTCGCTCAGCTGCTTCTCGGCTGCTTTGTTCGTAGTCTCTTTCTATAGATGCTCTCCTATGTTTCTTCTGGGTGGCAACAATTACTTAGAGAAGAAGCAAAAGCAGAAACCAGTAGAAGCTTTTATAGGGTGCTCGTGGCTATTAATGTATGGGAGCACCAATCTTAAGGATTATGGAGGGTGGATCGTATTCCAGATACGCTCCGCCTTTTACCTTTGGAGAAGCTTCTGGGAGTAGCCTATTTTCTTTTTTTTTTAATTATTATTTGATTTTTATGATTTTTTAAAATAATTTTTTATAATAAATAAAAAAATTTTATACTAAAATTTTTTTTTAAAAAATAATAAGAAAACTATCTAAATAAATTATTCTTATTAATGTGAAAGGTAGAGATTGCCATTTAAATTGCAGTTTTTTATTAGGAAAATTTTTAATCATCTATTATAATTTCTATTTTATTTAAAGAAAATTTTGAATTAAATTTTAAAATTATATAAAACAATTTTTTAACCAAAAAATAAAAATTATTTTTCTTTTTTCGAAAAAAAAAAGACATTGCAGTGGCTAAGTACTACATTTTTTTTAGAAAGGATTAGAAGAAAGAAAAAAAGTTATTTAAAAAGATAAACTATAATCACAACTCATTAATGTGAAAATTTGGAGACTATAACTTATAAGGCAAACGGCTCTCTTATTATTTTTAAAACAGTTTTTTTAGTAAAAAAAAAATCTAAATTTTTGTACTAAAAAATTATTTTAATAAATATGTTTAATTTGAAGAGAAATCAAATGGAATAAGTTTTTAATAATCATTATAATTTATCCTTTGTTTGAAGATAAATCAATAAGTTTTTAATTATACATTATCTAAAATTTTGAACAAAGATAATTTCTTAGAATACACTTTACTATAACTTCATTTGAGGCATTTTTCTTAATGATTTTTAAATTAATTTTTAGAACAAATTTTTATTTTAAAACCATTTTATATTAAAAAAATAATGAAAAAAAATTATCACAAATAAAACATATAACTAACTTCAAAACTTTTAAGATAAAAATATTCTAGAACTCTTTAACTCATTTTAAACTATATTGCAAGACACTCTGTAATGGACTTGCTTTCTAAAGCTTTTTTCGTTGACAAATTTTCTATTATTGTTAGAAAAATCATGCTATAACTATTAATTAATACTCTAAATTTACTTGAATTCATTGTGCATAATTATTAATATTACATCAAAGCTATCATTAGACATCTGAAAAATTGATCAAAATGATCCATTATTTTTTTCTAAAAGATCAAAATAATCTCCAACTATATTAAAAGACCATTTTATTCCCTCATGTCCTTAAAAGAAATCAAAATAATCTCATGATGAACTTATTTTGATTTCTCGTCAAGGAGTCTAGAGATAAAAATGATCTTTTTAATATAATTTGAGGCTATTTGATCATTTATGAAAAGTATTCTCTCTTAGGCAGATCATCCAAAGTTTCCAAGCAGAAGTTCTTCAAAGGAAAATGAAAAAGAATGGAAAAGAAGACCTATTACAGTAAAAAAATGTCCAACAAAACCAAAACAATTAAGCCTGAAGACCTGTACAATCATAAACACCAGTAAATTAACCTTTAAATTGCCGTCACTATCGAAGAACAACAGATCATGGGGCCTTCAAAGCTACAATAGGCTTTGCTTTGTTTCAAATAATTGCTTCCAAGCTACTTCTCACACTGAATAACCAGAGAACTGGTTTACCTGGATTGGACGTCATGGAGAAGTCAGAAGAATGAATCATAAATTTGGCCTTCTATCATTATATGGGCTATCTTCCCTCCGTTCATGCTTGCAGGTATACTGTGACTCCAAAATCATTCAGTTTCGATAAGAAATTACGTGGTTCAAGGATGCCATTCTTCTGTTGCCTGGTTCAGTTTTCTGTTATCATCAGACCAAACCAGTTTCCATGGCCCTGCTTTGCTTCCTAGCCTATATACAAAATGAATATTGTTAAAATCAGAGAGAAAATGTGATGTTGCAACTAATAGGGAGCAGGGCAACTGAAGACCTCAAGAATCCAGCAGCAGTTCTCAGGAACATGAAGAGAAACAAGCCTGCCCAAACTCCAGGAAGACCAGAAATGGCAGAAGCAATAAGCAGGAAAACAGAAGAAAGCAAGCCCACAAGAACCTGCAAGGAAGATGCCATCTCGGCTTATTATTCTCACTCTAACGCTTTGTTTGGGACGGCTTTTTTACTGATTTTTGAAGCAACTTTTTAGTTAAATATTAATTTTTTTGTACTAAAAGATGCTTCAAGAATCAGTAAAAAAGCTGACCCAAACAAAGCCTAAGAGTTTAGAAGAATTGGTGAATCTGAGAGAATTAGAAATCAGACCATGGAATATGCTGCATAGGCATAGTCTGAGACGCCATAATAGAGCCCATCGAACACAAAAGCAAGGGCATTGATTGGCTGTGATAAAGTAACAAACTGCAAAGGCACTTCATAGTTAAAATCCACATTCTTATTCATGTTGTATAGGAGGATTTGGATTCTCTCCAATTTCCATGGTAACGGCTCTTTTTGTAGTTATCTTTTCTAGCCATTCAATTCATATTGGATGGATGGATTTAATTGCAGTTTACCGTTTCAAAACCCGGATAGATAAGACTTCGTTTGGCTCTTCCTCTCTTTTTGTAAAAGATAATTTTAGAAACAATGGTTAAAGAAATAGAGTTTTCTAACAGAGAAGCAAATATCATAAATCTTTTCAAAACAATAGAAAAATGAAATTCCCTAAAAAGCATTTCTATAGAAGCGTCTCATCCAAACAGCAAAAAAAAAAATATTTCTCCATTTCTAAACTAAAAAGGAAAACAAACACCGAAACAAACAAGGCCTAAAATTCAGCCATCAAATGTGAAATGAATGGATGGATTTGGTACCAGTACAAATCCCGTTACCATGGTAATTCGAAAGGATACAAATCCTGTTCAAGAGTAAAATGTTCAACTATCAAAGTTACCCAAACCCCAGAGCGAATGATATTTAGGACAGCTGGATCATTAGTGAATACACTAGAAAAGGCCTCAAATGACAGGTACAGAACAAGAGCTAATATGATTCCAGATATGACTCCAATCTGGAGAATAAAAAATAAAATTTACAAAAGATGATTAGTGGAGTAAAATATAGATTTACTGAAGAAAAATTCGAGTGGAATTTCGATCAAAGTTTTACCTGTAAAGCTCGATATATTACAGTACGAGCTTGTTTATAATTTCCCTTGGTATATTCACTTGCCAGCAGAGCCTGAGAAAGATACAAATCACAGAACTTGTCAAATATCATGACATAAAATGTATCATACTTTGATATTTTTTCGGTTTTTTGAGAAAAAAATGGCCAAGAAGGATTCTATGATACGGCTAATCATGAAAAAGATGAAAATTTACTGTATGATTGGGATGTAAAACCGTAAACTTAAGTTTAAAAACATTCAATACAACAGAGCAGTTCAGAATCTAAAAACCTGTCCAGCTAAAGCCAAAGCATCATTCAGGAGAGATACTGCCAACCAAACTTGCAAGCATATTTGATGAGCGGCCATGGGAATAGGACCTTCTTTTGCAGCCATGGAAGTTGCCAATGTCATGGTCAGAAGAACAGCAATTGTTCTTGCAATTAAGAGACCACCTGAAAAACATTTTCCAAACACAATGATTACTATAAACTCTTCAAGCCACTGAAATGTGCATAACTATGTTCATGGAAAAGATCAATATCTTAAACTACAGCCGTTCATGTTTCGAAAAACAAAATTATCCAACAAAAAGATTAGCCTGCTGCTGGAACCTGAGAAGGCAATTTAAAGAAACTCATTTACAATTCCTCATAAATGAGCCTTGTATCATATTGTACTATTTATTGTGCTTACTACTATGCCCGTTTCCTGACGGATACTGTTATGCCTTTTTCCAAATTATTTGCACAACTCTTATCTATAATTCCTTCAGCTTATTTGCCCTAAATTTAGTGATCATTTGAAATCAAATTATGATGAACTTATGCCAACCATGTATACTAATATAGAGATAATGGATTTATAAATAGAAGTTTTGAGACAAAAAATTTATTACATTTGATTAAATAAAAAATTATTTTAGTCTTCAATGTTGTGTGTGAAACTTAAATATGCGATTCCTTCTAGCATAGTACAAAAACGATTAACTAATTTCAAGGGAGTTTTTTCCATGTTCCTGCTTAAGGCCAAGATTTTTTACTTTGGTAAGTTAGTTTTCCTAATATAATTTCTTCAGCAAACTATTGTTAATCCTAGACCTTCTTATCCTCCAAAATTTAATCAAAACAATAAGTTTAGAAATAGAAAGTGACTTTTGGAAGTTGTAAAGTCAGACTGCTTCTATTAAAAATTTGAAAACTCAATTAGGTCAACTAGCAACTTCAGTTAGAAGTATACCTTTTGGATTAGTTCCAGCAATATTGAAGTTAATCCAAAGGAGAAAGGAAAATATTCGAATGAAAATCACTTGAGGGGTAGTGTTGAATCCCATCCAAATTGATAAATCTAGGCAAATAAATTTAGCGCTGTTTGGGAGGCAACCCATCTTTGTGTTTAGTGTGTCATGTTAATTGTTATTATTTTTATGTTTCATGTTGCATATTTTGTTACAAAAAAAAACAACACGCCGCAACGCTGAGATCAACACCGCGGCGCTTGTACGTGTCAAAAACTACCACGCTTGTTTAGTTATAAAAAGTTAAGTGCAGCCAATTTTCTTGTCACTATTCTTTTTCTCTCTAACTTTTCAAGAATTCTTTCAGGTGGCTGTTCTTGCTTGTTCTTCATAATTTTGGGGATTTCTAAGTTAATGAGTAGAATGAAGAAAAACATTCTTCCTTAAAGAAGAAAATCTCTCTATGAGAAAGAAGAATATCTCTATGAGAATGAAGAATCATTTTTTGCTTTGAACTTTCAGAGTTCTTCTATTGCTAGTACACTAAAAGAATTCAAAAATGAAGTTATTAAAGATACAAAGGTGTACATTGCATAAATGAAGAAATTGCATGGGTGTAAGGTTCTCAATTATGAATTTTCTTCTAGACAAGATGTTTGGTTTTTTTATTCCCGAAAGAAGGTTTATCATGGAAAGATTAAGTCTAGATGGACCGAGCCATTTATTGTTATTCAAACATATTCATATGGTGCAATAAAAATTTAGGATCAAAAATCTTTTCACATTTTCAAGGTTAATGATCATAGATTGAAATCCTACGGATGATGATGAGGAGGATGCGGATGAGAAAGATTGTGGTTAGAAAATTTCATACTATTTGATCGGAGAGAGAGAAGAGCAATGGTTTACCCATGTTTTGTAGCATGTTTTTCTTTTATTTCTTTTTCATTTATTTGCTTTGGGGGAGATTTCAGTGATGCGATAGTTTATCGTGATTGTAGTTCTTGGTTATATTTGTTATGGCCGTGAGAACCAAGGTTACTGTGATGTGAGAATGGTGCCTTAAGCACTAGCTATGATGCACGGACACGGACACGGCGACACGGACACGACACGACACGGACACGGGACACTGCTATTTTTTGAAAATATAGGACACGTGTTTGGTTTATATGTATTACATATTTTTTAGCCTTTTATCACTCATATGAAAAGCATGTTTCATTAACTATAGTTCTAATATGCTTGAATTTACATTTAATTTAATTCTCCTTAAGCTTACACTATTATATTGTCTTCCATATTTATTTAACCAAAATAAAAATGATAATTAAAAATTATGTAAAATTAGGATAATAATAAAACTCTATATTATAGTTTAAATGAACACCACATTATAATTCATAGATTGAAAAACTTAATAATTAACTTAGATCATTTAAACTATTGACTTAACTTGAATTTATAACTTATATATTTATACATTGACCATTGAATTAAAAAATAAATAATTACGGTTAAAAAACAGATATGTGCGTAAGTTAAAATTGAAAATAGTAGTAACTTGAAATTGAAACAAGTGATCTTAATAAATTCTTATATTAAATAATTAAGATTGCAAGAAGATATAAGCAAAAATTGATATTTAAAATCATTAATTATGTACCAAAAAATAAAAAGAATTTAAAAAAAAGAAAATAATAATAGTACATTCAAAAATTAGTATCAGTTAAAAGTTTAAAAGTTCGACTATAATCTTATACTTCAATTTACAAAAGATAAGATAAGTGAACTAATACAGATGATGGTGAACTGATGGAATTTTAATTTTAACTACAAACACATTTAATCTTTAAACTATATTATTCATATCAATACTGAATAGTCAATAATTATAGTCATAACATATAAATTCAAAATAAGCAAAGGTAAGGGTGACGGGTTAGAATATTTTTTAGGAATTTTCTAAACTAGAATTAAAGTTTTGTTCATTTTAACTACTTCTAAACTATGATGTATTATCCAACATATTAATAATTTTAAATTATCAAATTTTACTTTACTTAATTAATTAATCAAAAACGCAAATTACTTTATTTGTTTGAGAATAAGCAAAACTTCAACCTGGGAAAAATTTGATAAGTATAAATTATGTACTGTTTATTATATCTGAATTTCAGTGAAAATGTGTTGTTTTACTTATTTTTGTATAGAAAAACAAAAAATGGTGAAAAATATAAAGAACATTCAGCACCGCGGTGTTCGATGTAACACCGTCGCTGCGCACCTTTCAACACTGCCGAAGCGTCAACTTTTGGACATTGCAATGCTATCGTCTATGTTTGCGAGCACTGCAGCGGTATCACAGGCAACACCGCAGTGTTTGAGGCGCCGTTGCGTCGAAAAATCAGCTTGGCAACGTCGAATTCTCAGAAAAATGAATGTCACAGCATCACATATTTCAACACCTCAGTGCCATTTTGGCCAATTGAGCGTTGTAGCGCTCTAATTCTCACAATGCCATGGCGTTACAGTTATAACTTTTAAGGGACACATCACTCAAGCGAAAAGACGTGTCTATTCACTTGATAACTATTCCACTTTATTAAGCGTGGCGACACGGCAAATATTTAAACGTCGAGGCGCTAGGTCACTTGTGAGCGCTGCAGCGCCACACTTTTAAGCGCCGCAATGCCAGATACCCTTTTTGTATTTTCCTATAAATAAATGTTATGTTTTGTTTGTAGATGAATTCAGTCATTTATGTAAAACTTAGTACTTTTTAGCGTGCTTCTCTAGTACCCTCTTAGAGTAAAATCTAAGGAAGGCTATGGAAGTACATGATATAATCTATTGAAGTGTTTAGCTTGTGTTTGTTGAAGCAACTTTGAAGTGAAGTAAAGACTGTAAAGGAGATACTTTGATCATACTTGGTGATAAAATTTCACTACTTTTCTTGTACTTTGATTATTCTACGAATACAATAAAAATGAGTTTCCTTGTCATTTATTTTATGTCTGGCTAGATCTATTATTTTGGATTGATGATGTAAAGAGCATATTAAGTACTAATGAAGACTCTTGTACTTTAAATATTTAATGATGTTCTCTATTATCTCTCGTTCTTCGTTTAATGCATATAGTGGTCATGTGTGTAATTAAAACCTAGTGTGATGTATAACATTGACAAAGAAATGCAAGAACAATCAGAAATATTGAGATAGAATGTTGTCATGCCTAAATATAGGATGTTTAAATATTCTAGGTTTTGAAAGATATATTATAACTGCGGAAGGTCAACATATATCATTTTCACCCCTACAAGCTCGACAAAGATCTAGGATGCACATGCTATGAATCAGATCTACAATTAAAAGTCTCATTAGAAAAAAATATGATATTTGCATTCATCAATCCAAAACATTTTATTAAACATTATATCAACTATTCTACTATTTTTACCCTGTGATAAAAAATCTAAAAATATCATTTTTATTTTAGTAGAATAACTTATGCATTTAGAATGAAGTGGGTTCGACACTCTACTTCATCATTTTATTACTTGATTCAGCACGTATATTTGCGTACATTTAAGTAAGGCTTTTATTATTGACATATCTAAGAAAACATCAGCATTGACCCCCATCAATTTACATACAATGCATCATTATAGTTACATTAGGAATCCTTAGCCTAATCAACTAGATAAGCCTACTTTTTTTAACTAAATCAATAAATAGAAAACTAACATTTATGCTTTTAATATTTAAGATAGATGATATATGTAAACATCTCAAGAAAAGAGCAAAGCTTGGCAAAAAAATGTTCTCCCTTCCAAGCTCAGCATTTATCTGATAATAAAGCATTAGCCGATCTTTCTTACAATTTGCATTATAAAATCCCTGTTGCCGCACCATTTCTTGAAGAATTTGACCTGGTTTAGATTCTCAACTGTGCAAACTAATGTCGATAACTTAGTTACAGTTTAAAGATCCAGGTAAAGTAGAAACAGGAAGTCAGCATTTTCCCCAATTTTTCTCCTAAAGGTGGCGCTTATTCCATGAGTTAGAATCCAACCACAAGCGTGCTAATCAGCACAACTACTCCGGTTTAAAAAAATTTTAGAGTTTAGTATGTTAATCACCATCACAACTATATCAGCCTTAAAAACTTCCCCAGTAATGTCTTCAATTTGAAAGATTTTCTTCAATATTAGTCAATCAACTAATAGTATGCACAAGATAATCGTCTTTTTTCTTTATTACAATGCAATTTTTCAAATTAATGCCAAACAGAACACAATAATACGATTACGAACCAGAGGAAAGATAGCGAACAACACCAACACCCATGTTTGGAGGAATAAGAATTACTTTCTCATTTAGCTTCCAAAGAAGGATAAAGGCGATGACATACCTGTTAAAATGTGTATAGATTGAATATAAGAAAATGTTTGGTTAGAAAATGCAAAACTAAAAAATAAAACTTTATAAACATGATATCAACAAATACTGCTTTCAAAAGCATCTCATAAGCAAGATGTACTCTGAAACTACAGTGGCTATGGCAGCACCCCCAACGCCAAAACCAAGATAAAATAGTAACACAACATCCAAAGCTGCATTCAGTAAGTTTCCAATAGCTGTATCATCAGAGAACAAGAGTAGTAAGCATATTAAACTTATATCGTACAATTAAAGCATAAATCCGTCTATAAGGTTAAATTTCCAAATATTTATTGCATAGAATACAAGTTTACTTGGATGAAGCCGTAATTTGCAGGGATCATTGCAAAAATTGTGATAAGACTTTACTATATTTTCCATAGGTTTTTTCGGCAAACAAGCTTATAAATAAATGATATATCCAAAATCAATGATGAAAATAACAACTAATAGACTGACACAGCAAGAAAGGTATTTTTGTTACAAAGTTTGAATTTAACATCCTAAACCTAAACTTTTCCCTAGACCAAGATTAAGGTACTACTAATATACAATCATGAACTCAAACTATGTCCCATCGTACAAGGATCTGCGGCTTAGTGGTTGGAGATGATTGTTTCTTGGAAATGAGCATATACGTGAAAAGGTTGGAGTAGCTCCAGTGGAAGATAAGGTTAGAGAGAGTCGCCTTAGATGGTTAAACGGAGGCCTTCCGATGACCCGGTTAGGAAAGTTGAGGTATTAGATTTGACTTATGTTAAGAAAGGTAGAGGTAGACCAAAAAAGACTTGGTTAGAAAATATTAGAAATGATCTTTCTTTATTAGATTTAAATGAGAATTTGACATTTAACCGGACACAATGGGAAAAAAGGATTCATGTAGCCGACCCCACGTAGTGGGACAAAGACTTGATATTGTTGTTGTCTGTCATCTTTAAGAAAAAACCAGTACCAAACGTACTAACAAACCAATCAAGAAAAGGTTTACGAAAATTCTCATAGAGAATAAACATGTAGAAAGGTGCAACGATAAGACTCTAGAGTAGGGGTGCAACCGAGTCAAGCCGACTCGTGAGCCGGCTCGGGCTCGACTAATTAACGAGCTCTACCTTATCGAGTTTCAAGCTCGAGCTCGAGCAGGATTTTGAGGTCATTGGCATATCGAGCTCGAGTTCATTCCAAATTAAGCTCGACTTGATTACTCGTCAAGCAGCTTAAGTGGAATCCGAGCGGCGGAACTACGCAAGGCAAGATCACGACGCGGGAGGGCTCCGACGTAGGCTCAAACGACAGAATCACAGGGCGGGCGGGCTCGGACTGTGGAATCGCGGGGCTGGCGGACTCGGAGGGTGGAATCGCGGAGCGGCCAGGCTCGAACTGCTAGCTCACAGGGAGGGCTCGGACGTAAAAAAGCGGAGTGGCGGGGTGGAATCGGGGGCGGGCCACGATAGCGCAATCGGAGCTCGAACCGGATAATCGATCCGCTTCACGAACCGTTTTTAGTAGCACTAGCCGAGCTCGAGCTCACCTTTTGAGCTCGACTCAAGTTCGAGCTCGAGTTCGAGCTCGAGTTCGAGCTCGATATTTGGCTCCCGAGTCAAGCTCCTGTGCGGGGAGAGCGTAGCTTCAAGCTCGAGTTAGGCTAGACTCGAGCTCGACTCGACTCCTTTACAGCTCTACTCCAGAGTCAAGTTAGTAGTATTCTGACTGAAGAAATAAGGAATCTAAAGCAAATATTAGTGTAAGAACTGATTTCTTAATGGAATCATTACTTGCTTTAATTGCTGAATCAAGTCAAGATGGGCATAGATATGTAAATTTGTGTGATCTAGCTGCATACCTATAGCATATAATGGTGTCTTTGTATCCATGAAACCCCGAAATGTGCCTTGTGCCGCAAGTGCTATGACTATAGGCGGAGCACCATAAGCTCGGAAGGTAAGAAATTGTTCAGCTGGCACACGCATAGGAGAATCCTGAGTAGATGGAAGCATAAGCAGTTACAATTTAACCAAGAATTTCTAAAGTCAAATCAACCAAAAAAAGATGAGATTATACATTAACTCAACAAAAGTATGAATTTAGAAATACAAATTAACGATTTCTGAACAGTACTTTACTGCATACCTTTTTGGCAAGTTGTTTGAGACTGCAAATGACCAAAGTAAATTTTTTTGTGTACATTAATTACAATTCAAACTGGTGCAAGTTACCAAAGTAACATAGTATGACCATTATGCTAACGAAAGAGCCCTTCAAAGACAGTTTAGTTGTATAGCCAGAAATTGGAAGGCATTAATAGAAATTAATTGCATGGAATATGAGAAATGAAATATATTTTGAGTGAATGGAGAAGTCATAATTCAGAGCAATTAGATCAATTAAAATAATGATCAATACCATGTCTAGCTGCTATCATACAAACCTATTTTGAGTGTATGGAGAAGTCATAATTTGGAGTAATTAGATCAATTATACAAAATTTCACATACAACAGGAATACCCATGATATTCATTAGCAGTCCAGACCCCAATGATAATGCTAGTGCTTCCAAAATCCCAATGCCAGCAGCCAAAGCCAAAGAAGTTGATACTGCTGGGAGATGCTTCTTGCCGCTCATCAACATTTCAGGCTCTGAAAGATTGCCAACATTGTTTTATTTTTTTGCAATATAAAACTGAATTAAACAACATTATAAAAGAGGACAATTATCAACTCATTACTCTGTGTATTGCTTCCCTCATTACTGTTTAGTGCTTGCTGTTCTGCGACCAAAGATGTTGTGACGTTAAGTAGAGGAACATTGAACAATTTAGAAACCAGATTGAATACTGAAACAGAAACTCCAACTGCTGCAAGCTCTACTGAACCTATTCAACATCAATGAAAGCAAGATTACTACCCCAAAAGACATGGCAAGAAATGTGAGTCATATACAGACCCCACTTCATGAGATACAAATGTTCAAGAGACAGATGAGATCAGAATAAGAGCCAAATGAAGTAAAAATAAGAGTTAACTTCTTAATATAACTGATAGAGACTTTACCCATAAGCTTAATAATAAAGGTTCTAAGACTATAGTGCTTTTTTTTTTTTTTTCTGGCACTCTAGTTACAATTGTAGCCTTTAAAATCTTCATGGATTACAATATGGACTTCCGGAGAACAAAGAAAACCCTATGACCTATGTTTAAAAAATATAAATAGCTCATTGTCTCCAAAAATTTTACGAAGTTGATTTTTTTTTTTTTTATGCAAGTTGGGTGCATGATTCCTTCGAGGGAGACACAGCTATGACTACCTAACTTTCGGGGGAAGTCATCTCCTTGTGCAGTATAAGGCCTGAATTTTAGTTTAGCAGCTTCTTTCATTGACTTAATGTCTTATAAATAACTTGTTATTGGTTTGTTAGGATTCTCAATTTTGTTAAAATTGCAATTACTCATTAATCTTGTGTGATTCAAATTTCTCATTGGTTTCTTCAAATTTATCAGATCAGTGCATTATCATTTAGATTTTAATTCTCATTTTTGCAATTACCATTTAAAGAAGGCAAGTTGCTAGCTTATTTAGTGGGCCATGATATTTGAATCATAAGTTACCTTGTGTAATTTGCATACATTACAACATTCTAGCTTACATTACACCGGCTCTAAACTGTCTATCTTTGAATTGGTATTAGAGCCATAATTGTATTATCATGTCAATTAAATGTAGGACACATTAATTGGGTTAATCAAAACTAATAAATGATGAAATTTAAATAGGATTGGATAAGCTATAGTTCTAGATAACCACAATATAACAATCATAAGATTTAATATTACATTTTTACATTCGATGAGGGGTATATGGCTTTAGAAAATTTTCACAGTGGGTCAATTTTTTAAAAATATAATAAGAGTTGAATGTGCCGTAATAAAACAATGCTTAATTAATTTGGTGAAAAGTTATTATTAAGTCATGTGTGCCATGAAACATAGATTTAAAGATCAATGCATTTCATTAGGTGAATTAAGGGATTAGGTGCAAAATCAATTTTTGGATAATAAAAAAGGTAAATATTATATGTTTGAATTATGCAATGCTTATCAGTACGCCAAATATTATTTATCTTTATATTATTTATAATTATTTATTTTACTGAAAATCCTAATTGAGAAATTAGAGATTAAATAAGTAATAATTCACCTAAAAATTTGGCATGGGACAAGATTTGAAATTGAGTAATAATTTAGACTGAGGTGGACGAAAAGATCTTTGGGATATATGCCTCACATGGAACACTTGAGGCAACACCTCAGTGAGTATGATGTGCCTCAAACCTTTCTTTGATGAGCGTAAACCTAATTTGGTATTAGAGTTTTTTTAATTTACAATCTCAAAGCCCGATTACCCTTATGATTTAAACTAACCTTATTTCATTAAGAAAAACCAAAAACAATGAACCCATTTAGTCATTATTTTAAATTTAATAAATATGCTTGTTAATTTTTATTGACTTGTGAAGATGAAGATGATTTGGATTAAATATGAGACAAAAATTGGGAGGATGTTAATACAACTGAAGATGAGAGGAGAGAGAAAGCAATTAATAATAATAATTATTCTGATGAAGACCCTCCCTCTATGTGATAAGAGTAGGCGACACTTTTGAATTCATAAATTATAATCATAAACTTTTTGTTTATGTTGAATTAATAATGAGAGAGAATTATTTACTTTATACTTCTTGTTTATGTTTAATAGTTTATCTTAGACTTTATTTATAACTTTGTGTTTGAAGCATTGTATGAATTTTATAATCTTATTTTGACTTTTATGATCTTAATTTGATGTTAGAATGTTGCTTATTCTTTTATATTTTTTAATAATTTAATGCTTTAAGTTTGAGGCTTATACCTCAAATACCTCCAAGCTTGTGCCTCACTTGATGAAAAGAAAATAACTAAATACTCGATGCGCAATGTTAAAACATTCCAAGAGGATTTATACATAGCTTTGGATATTTATGAGCATTACAATCATTTTAATCAAACTATCATACATGAGATTCAAAACTCTAAAAAAAATAATGCCATTATCTAAGTCGTCTACTATATACACACCAACACAAGAATCATACATGGCTGAAGTTAAACCAATCGAAGAAATGGTAATTCCAAAATATTTAATAGGGGATATTCTAAATGCAGAACATAATTTGCAGTTAAAATTTGGATATTTCTATATTGAACCATATTCATGCACATGAATCAATATTTGAGCAAGAATTAAAATTTCAATAGAAGACTAAATTTGAGCATAAGATCAAATCCGAATCTAAACTTCTAATTGGAATTGAGTTTATTTCATAAATTGAAGATGAAATATTAGCCAATCATATTAAATGTAGAGTAATCTAAAAACACATGAACCACTCAATCCCAAACGAAATATGAGCTATGATACCAATTTTTAGGAAATGCAGAATTAAAGAAAATCAAAGTTGGCCTTGATATACCAATGGCCAAGCTTAGGCCTAAAGGTAAAGGGCAACTATTTACTATTTCTCCACCAACATATTTATCAACTATCTGATACAAAACTAAATTCAATCCCTCACATACATTAACAAGAAGAGATAATAAATTATGAGTTCCTAATAATAAAATAGAAGCCCTCAATAAGCTTGAACTTTTGGCTTGATAGGTAGCCATCCGCCATCATTGGGCTCAGTTTAAGCCCTTTAATCCCCCCTAATAAGTGGCATCAAAGTTGAAGTTTAGTTGGGAACACCTATATGATGCAGATTGTGACTTCCATGGGTCTTAGAGATTTTTCTCATGGCTAATGTGGAGCATAATTTTCCTTATGAAGAAAATGCACAAGGGACTACTTTGTTTGTCATTACTCTACGTTGCTTGCATAATTTTTCCTTATGAAGTTTAGTTGGGAACACCCACTCACATTGACTTTAGAATAGGGACGAGCAATTTGTTTGTCATTACTCTACCTTGTTTTCACAGCTTAGCAGTACTTACAATTTATATGAGGTGCATGATTTCTTTTAAACAGCATAGAAGCAGTTACTTCAATTTGTTTGTCGTTGCGCTACTTTGTTTTACATCTTAGTAGCACTTACGATTTATATGAAGTGCATAATTTCTTTTTAACATCATAGCAACAGTTACTTCAATTTGTTTGACTTTGCTCTACTTTGTTTTCATAGCTTAGTAGTTACTTCAATTTGTTATAGTTTATGTTGCTAATATTTCTTTAATATTTTTTGCAGATGGCTTCTAGTGATGAGCCTTCCTGGCGATCGATCAAGAACATCTTTGGTAAGTGCAAGAAGATGACAGTGACTCATCTCGTAAGCCTATATGTACCGAGGGGACCTCTTCTTCTCAGCCTGCCACTCAAAGCCAGCCAAGCCCACCTTTACCTACTCCTCCAGCTAATAGTCCTCAATTTTACTCTTCAAATCCCAGCTTTCTTTGACCAAACCCACATATAGTACTCTCTTCTACCCTTATTACCCCCATCACCTTCTCATGGAGTCCCACCCATTTATCCATATCCACCATATGTCCCACCATTCTATCACCCACCACCCCCTCAGCTCTCTGTAGGTAGACCTTCCACCCTGGATGCAGCAAAACAGATGTCAAATGGGCTCATGTTGATTGAACATAAGGGTGACACATACGTACTTACTACATTCTTAACATTACTAAGATAATTTGAGAAATATTTCCACCTAACACATTTTATGTAGGTTTTATCCGTTGAAGCAACCCACACATAAGATATGGGACATCATACGGAGCAAGTTTGACGCTCCTTATATTTCTTAGAAGAAAATCCCAAAGGTAGTGTGCAACATGTAGTTCAGGGACTTTGAGGTTAGTTACTAACAAAAATATTTTATATTGTATCCTTTTAATTAAGCTAACAAAAATATTCTATATTGTATATTTTTTATGCATAAATATTTTTATTGGTTGCTCAAGCACAATGATAAGATTAGAAAAAAAATTGAGACGCCTACGAGACATGTTTACGAACATAAGAAAGTTAAGCAAGTGTGGCCAATGCTTGAGACATCATAGATTATACTAGAAGGAGAGACCAGAATAGATAGAACTGAGCTTCTGACATTGGGGCCATAGGTAGTTCCCTCCATACTGGGGGCTCAGTTCCACACAATGCGCACAGGCAACATTTGGTAAGAATTTTAATAAATTTTAATAATTTATTTAGTTATGAATGCTAATATAAATATATTGCAGAGAGAGCTGTTTGACAGAGAACCGTCTACTGTTGAGTTGCATAATCATACCAACAAGCGATAAGAGGACCAGAAACTGATGGATAAGTGAGCGAAGCTAACCTATGTGAGTATATAAGCTTAAAATTTTAAGTGTCATGTGTACATTGATTAATCTTATATTAACTTTTGTAGGAAATGTATACACGACTTCAAGAGAGTCAGGCTGAAGCAGTTAAGGGTTCCTCTAGGAGATTTGCAAATTATTCTGACTACTGCGCTTGATCGCAAGTAATAGGTGGAATGTAGAAAGGATATATTTATGAATTAAGCTCGCAAGGCTACACGTACAAGGGGAAGATCTCTAGTGGCTCTAGCTTCTCAGCAAGAGGCCAAGAAATTTTGTATAGCCAACAGGTGGTTGCCCTTAGAATAGAGCTAAATCAAGTCCAAAGATCATAAGTTGACATACAAATGCAGATACATATGCAACAAAGTTAGATATAGGAGTTACAGAGAATGAGGGAGCAGTTCAGTAGAAAGTAGCCGGCATCGACAGAGGAGGAGAATGACGAAATAGATTCAAATTAGACTGTGTTATTAATGGGCGTGTTATTACTATGTGTTTATAAATTTATGTTCCATTTTTATTATATAACGAACTTCATGTTTATTTTATAACTATTTGATAATTACAAAATATATTCTTCTGATCAAATGTCTTATTACTTTAGCATCAATATTTATATTCAATGTTGAAATGTGAAGATGACATATATATGTTTTGACTGTATGATTGCAGGATTGTTGTGTTGTACAATAATGAAGAGAATGGTTTGTTTTTTATTTTTGTTTATGGTACAGGTTTCCGGTGCATTTTTGACAGATTATCCGTCGGAAACATCGATACGACGAATTACAATAAAATTTATGACGGATATTGAAATTACCAGTGGTTTGTTTGTTGGAAAAATGCGCTAGTTCTTCCGTCGGCTAGACTGCCAGAAAACGATCCCAAAAAACATTGTCTCTTTGCACACATTTCCACTTGAAGTGCGCCGGTAAATCTGCCAAAAAGGACTCCAATGAACGTTTTCTACTGGAAAAGTATTTCTGACGCGCGTTTTATCGTCGAACCATTTTCTGCTAGAAATCCACCGGAAACACAATTTTTCCAACGGATTACTGTCATTTCCAGTGGATTTTGGCCACCGGAAATGCATATTTTTCCTGTGGTGTTAATTGATAGCATTTTAAAAAATATTTTAGTTGTCCTAAATTTTTCATTATAAAAAGAAAGGCATCATCTTTTGTTTGTATATAAAAAATTAGAATTGTATTTCTACACAATCAAAATATAGTTAAAATCGCTGCAATAGCAACAGGGCATAACCATCAGCTAGGTGAACCTATATTAAATTCCTATGCGTTTTAATTGCTGATCTTCTTTTCTATTTTTTTACTCTTGGTGTTTAGCCTATTTCCAAACACAAGAGAAGCTGGCTCTCACATATGCCCCACACAAATGCAGAGAACTCTCATGTATGTGAGGGTAAAAGGTTGAGAATCACATATGACCAAAAATATAATTTCACATCAAAGATAAAAATAAAAGTTGATATATGAATATTAGTAGTCTACTTTATGTACCTTAATAGCCAAAAATAATTTCACATCAAAGGTAAAAGTAATAGTTGATATATTAATATCAGTAGTCTACCTTATGTACCTTACTCAATAGCTTAAACTTTTGGGTTGATGGACATACATCCGTTGGAATATTGGTCTAATTTGGACCCCTTCTGTTTCACCCTCCTAACAATTCAAACCCCTCACCTCAACTTGAGGCGAAATTATTCTGTGCGGAGTCCGGACAGAAGATTTGTCCGGATATATGGGTGTACACACAGTACAAATTTATACACATTGTGTATCAAATCTTTATACACAGTGAGTACACTCACAGTTCGGACGATTCTTCCCGTCTGGACTCCGCACAGAATAATTTCTCCGACTTATAGATCTTAAATTGAGATGATGTCAATTTTAACCAACTACTCTATATAACCTGATCAATTCAGATTGTCATTTCTGCATGTCATGCAACGATTCATCATTAAAATCAGAAACTGTGATAATCGACTCGTGCATAGTACATTGAAGCAATTATGTATTCTCTGAAACAATCATTTGGGCAGTGAAATACCGATTGGAAATAGAAAAGATAAGCCAATATCGATTCGTATACCTATGTGGCCAACGAAAGCAGTATCCACGAGAGAAGCAATTGGGTCGGCACCCAAAGCCAGCGCCGCCGGCAAAGCTATTGAAAGTATCTCAAGCCCAACATTGTCAACCCTAAATAATCATCATTAAAATAGATCAAAATCCAATAATAAAGTTCACATTTTTTTATCTACTTCTATAACGAATTGAAGTTTCCAAGAACCTTATTCGACCAAGAAGGCCCGAGATGGAGCGGATAAGGAGGTAACCGATGGGCTTATCTGTATGAGGCTCAGCTCGATAAGCCTCCGCCGGGTCATCCTTGGGAGAGCTAGGCGTTTGTTGTGAGGAAGGAGAAGACAATAACAGTTTGCTCCGAAGACGAAAGCCAAATGAGATAAGGTTTGTTCGGAAAGACGAGAGAGAATGGGTTTGCTGAAATGGCCTTTCTTTATTTGAAGGATTGGAGCATTGGAAGATAGGATGAAGGATGAGCAAAGTTCTTACCGCCATGACTGCGCGGAAGAGGGAGAAAGAGGAGAACTACCCGTTTTCCGGTGAATTTCAGTGAAAAGATATTTTCCGTTCTTCTACTCATCTGCAACCAGAATACTGAGTTACTAACCTTATCGTATTGGTTGAGAGGTCAAAGATAACTGTCTATAGCAACCGGATATTATAATGTGCCGAGGCTATGCTGAAGAACGGTCCGTATTGCTTGACGAAAAATTCAATAAATAAGCAATAAATTAATAAATATTTAATAAATACTCATAATTAAATATTTATTGAGTATTTATAAATATGCAACATATACTCAATAAATTCGTACGGTTCTACCATTTGGACTCCACACATAATGATTTTTCGTAGTAGACCTCAAAATATAAGAGATCAACGCGGATGAGAGCAAAGTGGGGTAAAAAATATAAGTATTGCGAGAGGAAAAAAATAATAGAAACGAGCGACGTAAAACTTTCTGTTGCTTAGTGGTGGGGTAAGGGGAGTGAATTGTCAATTTTAAAAATATTTTTTTTTACATTTTTCATTATGACTTTGACAATTTAAAAAAATTAGAATTGTTAATATAAAAATATAAATTACATTAAAAATTTAGTTAAGAGCGTTTGTATAATCTAAACAAAAATAAATACATTCTAATAATATAGTAATATATTAAAATAAATAAATAACAGCTCTAATATGAAATTTTTAATTTAGTTGAATAAAAAATTAAGTTTTTCCACAAAAAAAAAAGATAAAAGATTCGGAGTTGTAGATTTGCTTGATTTGCTTTTCCCTTTCTCTATGCTACTCTTATCATTCACCTCCTTCGTGTGACAGGTAGATGTTTGAATGAGTCGCTAAATAACTTCTTCGTCTCCTTCGATAACATTTCTTCTTATCGGATTTGAAATCTCACCTCGTCATTTGTCTGTTCTATCAGAAGTAACGACGATAGAAACTTGCTCGTTGCGAAGGTAGGCATCTATGTCTTTCTTCCGTTCGCACTCTTCTTCGGCCAAATCTATTTCTAATCTTATTTGCCAGTGAAGCTACTCTATTCTTTTCACATATATACTCATTTTGTATTCTATCTATATAATAAAGCAACATCCACCTAAGGATCGTCATCTCTACAACACTTAACTTAATATTATGATTGAGGGAATTTCTCTATCACATAATAAGCTCAATGCATTCCTCCATTACAATCATGCATACAATGAATTCTTCTATTAATATCTCCATCTATTATATCATCACTATTAAGAATATACTCATGATAAGGAAGGAAGAAAAGATGGATACCTTCTCAACGAGCAAGGGATGTCATCGAAGAAGGCCAAAAAGTCACAGTGAGAGGGGAGACCATGTCAGAAGCTCGGTGAGGAAGTGTGATTGAATGGCGACTAAACGGTGAGGAACGTCGTCGAAGGAGGCAGCGTCGTCGACTGAACGGCGAGGAAGAGGTTGTCGAAGGAGGCATACGTCAAAGGAGGTATAAAACAAGCAAATGAAAGAAATGGCCAGTCAACTGGTTTAGATAGGGTTATTTGCGTCAGATTTACAACGGATTTGTGATAGATTTGAGACAGAAAATCCATCGCAAATTTGCGGTGGATTTTCCGTCACAATTGCAGAGATAAAATTTTTCGTAACAAAGTTCATCACAAATCCGCCGCAAATTTTCAACTTTCATGTAGTGTAAGCTTCATTGGAAACACCCAACTATAACGAGAATAATCATCAACAAAAAGGGTATAATATTTGAATAATTGATCGTCGACCACCGCACCAACTACTACCATGCACCAGCCGAAATTCAGCCACAACTGTTAATTCGACCATTATTTATCACTGAAAGTCGCCACTATGCACAACCATTATTATATTTTACATTGTATTCATTTTACTTCTAGAAAAAAAAATCTTATGCATTCCTTTTACACTTATCTAACAACTTTAAACATTTTAAACATAGTACATTCATTTCACTTTGTACTTCTTTTAATATGCATTTCTTTTTCAACAAACAAAACAACTCTAACTTAGAAGTATTTGTTTTATGCCAATTGATAGTGGCTAACTATAACTAAATATGATCAATGAGAAATGACTTTATATTTGAAAACTATATATTAATTATTAGGGTGATCTACATACACGCAACAAAATTCTTATGAATTCACTCAAATATCTAAATTATTAAAAAAATATCATTGTTGCGTGTTAGAATATATGCGGCGGTAGAGTTTGTAAATTCGCGTCCAAACGTTGTACGAGTATTCAGCACACAAACAGAAAAGAGAATACGAACACCAGAATTTTAACGTGGAAAACCCAAAAAGGGAAAAAACCACGGGGTCTTGCCCAGTTGAAAAATTCCACTAGTGTTTTGCAAATTGCAAATGACTGATTCGTCCCATAAGTTGGGGCAATCAGATTACAATTCTTTTCTTCAAGCAAGTTTACAAAGTTCAGCAAATTCTCGACGTTTCCCAAAAATCCGGCAGAATTCCGGCTTCTTTAGGCGGCGAGAAGGCTCCGGCGGTGGTCGAGGAGGAGCTTCTTCCTTCTCTTCATTCTTCTCTTCTTCTTCTCTCTCTTCACTTCAGTCTCTTTTGTGTAGAATGAGGGCTCTACTTATAGTTTTTCTGGAGTGGCATAGCTCGTAAATAGATGTGAGATCATGGGCGAATAGGGAGTGATTTGAATGGACGGCCGATATTGAACCCTTCGATCGTGCACCGTTCGTTGGACATTTGGAGGCCTTAATGATGTCGGAATTTAGGGATCTTGGGCTCGTTGGATTCGTTTTGTCGAGCCGCTCGATTCGACTATAAGCTCGCTAAAATCAGAGACCATTTGGTAACTCAAATTGTGGTTTGAACCTTCCAACAACGCTTCGGGTCCTTGATTCTGACTCATTTGCCTCGAGATTCGTGCCCGATCAAGCTAATTTTTGATGCCGTATCAATCACTATTATTAACATATTTAAAATCGAATGCATCTTCTTATGCCTATGTTATAAGGTGATTTAGATATTAAAATGATATAAAAATAAATATAAATATTTAGCTATTAATATAATAAATTTGTGATATTTATATAAATCCCCCTTATTAATAATGTTGAGAAGCACAATCCACTGTGACACTTATTTCTTATGTAAAGCAACACTATTTGATCATAAATTTTATTATCATAATTACATTTTAAAACATTCAAAATTTCTTAGTGTAATAAACTTTATCCAGATCCTTTTTGACCAGTATAATACATTTTCTTCCATAATTAAGAATCTTCGCACACATGGGCTTATACAGCCCATGAACAAATTCCCCATGGCATTGACTAAGCGGACTAGATCCAAAACGGCCTGCATAATAGCGTTTTGCCCAATGGGCTGACTGTAGATTTAAAAGGCTTCGTTTGCAGCCTTTTTATTATTTTCTGAAACTGTTATTAAGTAAATAATTTTTTTAAACTATAAATTATTATACTAGAAATCTATTTTAACCAACAATAAGAAATTTATCACAAATGCAGGCTTAGTTAGTGGAATTTTTATTAGGTCTGGTGTC